CTATCACGCGTCTTAATTAATCCGTAAGTCGTGACAATCGCGACGTATAATGGTACTTCACATAGTGAATGAATGTTACGACTTAATAATTAAATCATTCCAACAAACATGGCGTCGTCCCGATGACGTATGTCAATTACGGATATCAATGAATCTATTAATCACAATCGCGCGTTAATTAACACACTGATTCGTCACTCACAATGTCCGCTCGCTAGCGCGACTCACTCTCCAATGAGAACATTGCGCGGGAAGTACGCGATTATTATAGAAACACGATACGCATGAATCGTTTTAAATGCCATCTATCGCGCATTTACTCAATTCTTAAGTCTGTCTTATTCTACTGTTCGATTGTTAGACAGTTCGATTGTCAGACCGTTCGATTGTTCGGCCGTTTTATTCTATTTTAAAATTAATTAATATTCTTTCATTCGTATTCAACATGTATAAATAAACAGTCTTATTTTCAGCAATAAATAAATAGTTGCATTACTTACATAAATACAATGTTATATTCATAAACTTTTCTGGTTTGCAATAATTTGATGTATCATAGTAATTGTATTTTCGTATGTACTTTATATTACGCTTATCATCGTAAAATATATGGAAGAAAATAGAAAAATATATATGTACAAGAAGAAATGGATTTTTGCTCGTCCGATTAAGTCAATAAAAATTCATTTTTTCATATTTGTGATAATATATATATGAACTACGTATAGGAAACCATATACGTCAAAATCTTCTTACGACTCGTATACAAAGCAACATAATTAAGGTACAATAATGGCAAAAATGTTGAAGATGTGTTACTTTCGAGCGATTTAAAATATTTCCGCGCATTTCCTCTATGTTTACATGTAAGCATTATACCGTGCAGTTTTTTTCCGCAGATACAATAGCCTTTGCGCCTTGTTCGCGTGCTCCTTAACTAACGATATCGAGGATCGCTTTCAATTAATTAAAATTGCAATGAAAAAATTTCTTCGGCTTCGCCAAGTCTAATTGCTAGCATTACGCAGTTGTCTCACTCGGATACACCCCAGAGATGCTGGGTCTTGTTTAAAATTCACAGAAGTGATAACGCGCGAAATACGTAACGCGCCTTAGGCATAAATCTTTTTTCTACTAATTACGGCGATAAGGACGTCGTAAATCATCGAAATAATTGGCCGCGCACGGCCAGTCACGCATTCTATGCGATTCTATTTACGCGTACGATCCTTTTAACGCCTGTCTGCGTGCACAAAGAGATTTCACACGGCGCGGCCATTAAGTTCTCAAACGCATCGGGCGAAAACTGATCCGGAAAAGCTCTTCCCGCCGCGACGTTTAGTCACGCTTAATCGAGTATCAAGTGTGTGTCGACGCGTGAATAAGCTGCGACCTAAGCTCATTAATCTTTTTCTATCAATGTTTTATTCGCGTCCGAGAAATTTACGAGGTCACAGTGAACACGCAAGAGATAAATTTTCAATCAAATTATTTTTAAATTATCTCTAACATCATCTATGAATGCCTATGTAATTTTTGTTGATGCAGGAAGTGACAAAATAAGTATATCACTTATAAAGAGAAAAGAAGTTGTAACAATCCATAAAAAAATAGAAACATTTTATTTGCGTCAGAAACTAAAATAGACTTAATTTGTAAAAATAATTACAATATTATATCCTGCAGATCCTCAAATATTACTTCGCAAATGATTCCTTCGTTTAAAACTGAAAAAGTTTGTCGGAGACAAAGATCAGAACATAAATTAGTAACAGGAGATTTTACGTACGAAGAAAACAAGAACAATTTCCTCCGCGGAATTGCACGCGCGCGAAATCGCGCCGGAAGCGCGGCTTGGAATCAAGAATAGAGCGGAGTGGCGAGAAAGAGACTCAAGGACGACGCACAGAAGAGACTGACCAATAATAAGACTAAGTGACGTAGGTTAATTGCCGAGATTCGTTCGAGACCGGTAGCTCGCGAGAGCAACGACGCGGAGTGCGAAGGAAGAAGAGCTCGAACGTGTGAGAAAGGCGAAAGAAGGCGCAGCCTCCAAGGAAGATCTGCTATCTGGGTCCAGAAGAGACCTGACTCGCTCGGGGACCATCTCCTTCGCACACCGCCTCCTCAACGCCCGGCGAATTCACCGTCGGGTCCCGACTTCGCCTCCTCTGCCCCTTTCTTTTCTCTTTTCTCATCTCCTTCTTCTTCTTCTTCTTCTCCTGCCGTTTCTTTCCCCGAGGCGAGGGAGGCGCACACCACGTGCCTACTTGAAAAATCAGCGCGCTTACCAAGGGCCCTAATTAATTTACATAGCGCGGGAGAGCGAGGGGGAAAGATTCCTCGCGGGTTACTACCCGTGTTACTCGGATTAATGTTGCCGATCGGATGCAGAGCTGTTAATCTTGTTAACGGCTGCAGCGCTCGGCGAGGCGCGAACGGAGCTTTTTAATCGGGGCCCGTACCGCGCTTCTACGGAACGGAAGTCATTGACGTTGATAAGTTTCCGGAAATCGGATCCCGCGATCAATACCGCTCAGACGAGAGGCGCATGGCCGAGGAATTTAAAAGAGCACAACGCGAGGAGAGTTTCTTTCGATATGTCTAAAAATTTGAATCCCGACAAGATTGTATAAGTCATTACATTGTGTAATAATAACACATTAAAAATTATTTTGAAACATTAAACTCTACTTTCCATGAATTCTTCGAAAATAAAAATTCGCGAAGACAAGTGAAAATATTGAGAAGCTAAACTACCGCTTTAAGTAAACTAAACATTATTATTCTTGTCATAATTTTCTTGAAATCAATTTTTTTATTGCTGCTATAAGACGTAGCTATTGATAGTCCCACATTCTGATAAAGCAAAATTTAAAATTCAGAGTACACAAATTCTATTTGCGTAATTCGAAATCCCGCAAAAGCAGAGAGACAGTCAAAGGGAGTGAGAATTTTACGAATGGGTGGTAAGTGAGCGCAGGAACTCCCAGGTATCGGGGCAGATCGGGGAGCGACACTCCGTTGGGAGTCTTCGGGAAGATCTGAGCTCCGACAATGAATACCTATTAAAACGGTGTGAACAATGCGCTCCGGGTCGGTGCATCTCTCGCGCGGGCGCGAGTCTCACCCTCGGTATCACAGCGACCAACGTAGCGACGCAACAGCAGCAGCAGCAACAAGAGCGCTAAGTAGAAGCCCGGGCCGCAACCTCGCACGCGGACCCCGGTGATATACTGCGAGATTCGCGATATCGTGCAAAGGTAGCCAGCAGGAGCAACACACACACACACACACACGCATACAAACACATGCAGACAGACCGACAACAACGGGCGTCCTCCTCCGCGCGTTCAATCCGGATTCGTGCCCGTGCATTACCTTGCATACGCTATTGCGCTCTGGTATATCTGCCATCTCGCTCGCTCTCGCTCTCGACCATCGACCGCGCCGTGCGATGCCCACCTCTTCCGCTAATGGACTCTTTCCCACCCGTTCCTCCTCCGCTTGCCACTCTCTTTCGGAGGAAACGACGTCGCGTCGTCGTACGCGTACGTTTATACGCGATAGTCGTCGCGTTTGGTTAGCGCAATGGTTGGCAACGGTCAGAATAGCCGGGAGCAGCACTCTTCGAGATGACTGAGACGAAAGTGTAAAATAAAAGTGAACGAACACGATTCTGCACATCGAAAAGCAGCAAAATTCCGAAAGATTTAGAGCAAATGTGTAAATTCAAAATTTACGTTCAAATATGATGTCATTTAAGGTGAACTTCACAAATATCGTATATTTTGCAAAAAGTTTATAACAATAATTCTAAGCTTATATTGAAAATTTCGTCAAAAATAGGTAAGATAAATGATTTGCATTTGTTAACAGAGATAATGCTTTTCAATAATGTTGAATAATTTTTTAACATTAAAGTAGTGAAAAGTGGATGCAAAGACAATCTCATTTTTTTTCGCTATTTTATGGTAACCCTGGTGTAAAATCAATGAGCTCGATTTCACGTTGGCGCAGGAGTCACTTTGCTCGTCGCGAGATTGGAAACAAGGGACGAAAGCACGACGGCGGATGGTAGAAAGCGAGAAAGAAGACGAGAGAACGTCTACCCATTATTCCGCGGCGATTCATCGATTGGCCCCACCTGATTGCGATTGCAGATGAGATTGCACACCCGTGGTGCAGGAAGGCATTCTCCCGCTGAAGTTGCATAATTTTTGCATAGCGACCGAACGTATTACTCATGGTAGAGAATCAGTTTTTCTCTCTTTCTTTTTTTGTTTTTTTATTTTTTTTTTTTTTTTTTGGAAAAATACCTTCGTTAAAATGTGTTATCATTTATAATGATTTTGTCTATTAACATTATCGTTAAATGCGAATTACGTGAATAGCATTTGGCGAGCCAAAGATCATTTTTCATTGTTTCGTTGTAAGCGAATAAAATCCCCCTCTATTTCGATATTTTATCTCCGCGCAATGCGCGGAACATAGTTTTGATATTAAGCTATCACCCAGTGATTGTGGATGAATGATGGGCGAGTCTATGTCTGCGCATTGTTTTCGGATCTTATTGTCTCGAAGATGTAATGAGTATCTCGCGTGCTGACGAAGAGGTGGTGAATAGTTGTGTTACGATGGGGCTCATAGCCGCAACTTGAGATATTTGTTATCTGAGTTCTACGTATCTCAGCGATTATTGCACAAGCGGCAATAATAAATAAATGAATCAATTTGGCCCTACCATTTATTACATTTATATTTATTTAGTATAATTATTATAATAAAGATAATAATTAGCCAACAATTAAATAGCGCGAGCGACGTCTTACAATTAGATATGCAAGTGGGAAAATCTTCGAGACATTCCAAAATAATTAAAGATTCGTAAACGAGCACCGTGAATTCTTGGACACATTATTGACAATAAAACTTGGATACAATACAAGCGATAAATTCCAATAATATATATGTGAAATAATTTGAAAAGCTTGACTCACCTTGAAAGTAACTCTTGGTGCGGAGGTAGCTGACGCTGAGTCTGAGGATGCTGAGCCGATCCAGTTTGCTGAGGATATTTTGCTCGAAAGGGAGTAACGATGCTAGCGTATCTAGCTCGGCGTTCAATCGTTCCCGATGCCGCTTGCTGGGATTCGACTTTGTCACCCCGTCTTTCTGCGGTGGTTTCAAGCTGTAACAAAACCAAATATAAGTTCTAACTAAACATTTATTTTAAGAGATAGAAAAAATATTCGAGATATGAAAAATCGTAAAGTGTCGATATATTATAATCACCATAATTTTGCCGAAAAAAAGAAGGATTTTAAATGTTCTAAAGAATAATCAATTTATAGAATGTTCTTGATCAAGTATAGTATATTAGCATAGTTTTCTATTTTTCACAAGTGGTTTCAAGTATATCGAGAATACATTGAAATATGCTAAAAAAATACTATTACAACAGACGGTAATTAATGATCTTACTGGTCCGTGGCGATGAGAGTTCAATAACCAGCTTTTGTTTCGAGTAGGGGATAAACTTTAATAATCAATTCGCGGCAGTGCGGCGGCACGCCGACCGTTATGTGTGTGCACGCGGATTTACATTTTACTCTTCATTACCGGAATCAGCGTGCGCTTCTCGAATCGTTAACAACAGGCGGGCCGCGTCTGCAGGATTTCGATAATTAAAAGTTGCCGGTGTGCCAGCCGGGCTGATTGACACCCTGCCGACACATACGCGCCTGCACTACGCCAGTTCAGGACGTCCTTAGGCGAAGGTACACATGCCGGGCTCGTAACTTGGTGTATTTATGCCCCGGCGAGCAGGCCGCCCAATTCGGCGTAAAGTGTGCGAGTTATTTAATAGTTATGGCGGTAATTGACAACTACAGCTACTATATACATGGTGGCCCGACTAGCCGACATTGGCGTAAGTATTTTTCAGAAATCAATATGCTCGAAATATTTAATGCCATATTGTAAAAATTATTCTAAACTTTCAGATTAATCTTAACAAAATATATATATATATAAAAGTGTCTTTTGTTTCAAATAAAAAAGTTATAATTTATATGCGCGTATGATAAATTATTCAATAAATTAAAATTAAATTGTAACTAACATTTGTTTGTAAGATATTTTGTTATGTGAAACAACTTATAAAATTAATTAGATATTAAAACAATTTTGTCTTACAAATTTTTCGACAATCTTAAGATGTGTAAACGAGAAAATACAAAAAATAATGCTGCGCCATTGGTATCTCCCTAAATTAACATGTAAGCCCCATTTTTAAGCAATGTTTCTGCTGTGCGCTTAATTAAAACTCTCACCATGAATATAGCAGCCATTGACACGCATCGTAAGAGGCAATACCCATGCAATCTCATTAGAATATGCAACATTTGCAAAATTAACATTGCAATTTAAAAACATATGAAGCATACAGAACATTCCACAATCAGCAATAATGTGTGACTTTAATATGCAGAAGAAAATATTATACATTATAATACTCGAATTTTTACTCAGATGTGGAAGTTAGTCCGAAATTAAATCGATTATTGGAATATATTTTAGATTATATTTTAAATAGCTTTTAATACATATAAGTCACGAATTCAGCACAGTTTTTTACAAGTTTTCTCTCTATTGAAAAATATTATCAAAATCTTATTTCTATCCTGCAATTAAATTAAAAATAAGATTTTATTTTACTTTAATCTATTAAAAAATACATACTTCTTAGTAAGATTTTTTATACTTGTAATGATAAATGCAACAAATATTTACAAGCAAATATAAAATATATATGATAGAATAAAATCAAAGCAAACACTTCCGTTTTTACGCTTAGCCATAAATATTTTCTTCCTGTTTTTCATTATAAATCCTCCATTATCCAATATATCCGTTGACTTTCACTGCGCTTAATGCGCCATAAATCGTGTCGTTAATGAGTTTTGCGAATTCTTGGACGGCATCACCGGTTGCTCGTCGAAATTAATATGCAAAATCAAATTTTACGCATCTGACTCCGAATTGTTTGTTTAATTGAAGCGCTCGCCATGGGAACGATGCTGCTCATGTCACAGAACGAGTGCGGAATACTCTCGGCCACGTCAAAGACACCGCGCCGCCGCAGCAGCCATTCGCGCAGGCCTATACTTAGGAATAATTATTATTCTTACGCGGTATATATATATTTAACGGCCTTAGCGCGGCCTTCCCTTGCCCTGCCTTCGACGAGCTCGCCAAGGCTGTGCAAGAAAGCGAGATGGACACGTTGGAATGGGTTCGCGGGCAGGACCAGTTCTTATCGCGGGTTATTAAGAAAATAGTGTTAATGAGATGTCACTGCGAATGCACACTCGCTCCTAGAAACGACTCTTGTCTTCTGACTTTTGCACTGATGTGTCTTATGCTACGACGCATTCTTCCCACAAAAAGATCAGTGTACAAATAAACATTTGTTATAAGAACATTCTGGATAAAATAACTTTCAGAAAAATAATTTTACTCTAACAAATATTTTACTTAAAAAAAAAATACAAAAACGTAGACTTTATGTTCTTACAAATTGTATTCTCATTTTATATTCGCATTATATTTTTTACGCTATCAAATTTCGTATATAAACATTTTTGCAATGCTTAATAATTTTGTAAAATATAACTTTCTTTAGACTTTCTTTTACTTTTATTTTTATATTTAATATTATATGAAATTTTAAATTGACAGTTTTCAAAAACCTGATAATTTTCAATATTAACAAATTTTATTAGGTAATAAAAAGAGTATATTGTAATATAAAATATTGACGAATAAGATAATGTGTAAGAGATAACAATGTGTAAGAAATATATTATCAACGTGTATTATGCTAAATTGCCTGCGATCATTCAGTAGAGAGATTATTATCTTATATCCTGACAGTCGGAAATTCCTCAAGTTTTATTTTTATCTCGAGAAATATACTCTTTTGCTGTCAAGTAGATTCCTAATCAGAACTAAATTCTATTCATCAAGATTTAAATCCAGCATTTTATTTTATTTATTATTAAGAAACTATTTCATTAGTATTTTCTGACACATTTACAATATTAATTCAGAGATACGAAATATTTATTTATTTTCTTCGTTTCTTTAATTTTCAATGTTTTATAACTTCGTACTTATTCTTGTTTTCCTTGTGTGTGATTTGTCTTTTAATATCTGTGCTTGAAAGAGTATCTGGCCGTTCAAAAACATGTGCTATTCTTGTCCCGTTTGCGAGCCCAATAATTAGCTTTGTTTTGCACTGTCGAGAAGAAAGACGAGGAGGAAACGACAGTCCGGCAAAGTACTAATGGTATCTGAATAAGATTATTTCTCGCGGACCTCCGTCGCTTCTCGTCCTGAATAATGGATTTGATGTCGTCTAATAATTAATAGAGTTCTTCTTGGCGCGGCCGCGCCACGCAGTATATGGCCGACAATCTCATTCATCACGCTTTCTAACCCTTAAGCATTTTAATTAAAGGCATCGCTTTTTCAACGCACACGTTGCGTTTACCTTTTTCGAAGATTTGCAGTTTATAAAAACAACAATGGTATTTTATATGCAGAAAGCAATCTTGGTAGTAGTTTATAATTGATTCAGAGATATTGTAAGATATTCGACAAATTAGTTTTTCGCTAAGTAGAATGAGTTTAAGATAATATAAATAAATTTTTTCTATTTTGATCTCTAAATAGAAAAATCTTAATTTAGAAATAATAGTGGTTTAAATTTATTTTTTTATTAAATTTAACTAATACTATTTTTTATAAAATTTAATTAATACTATTTAAGCAAATATTTTTATTCCATTCCTAGCTTCAAGATTATTCAGCAATGATATGTGTCAATAAAAAAAAATAGTACGAATAATATATTCTATCAGTCTTGCATAATAACGACTTAGCTACATAACCGACTACATCTACGGAAACGAGAAGTCTTGCGAATATAACTAGGCGGCTGTCTGGCTATGAACGAACCCTGGTTATAGCTACCTCGGAAATACAAACGAGGCCTGACGCTCTGCTATTATCTGTAGATGCACAGTAACTGTACCTTGATGATAAATAGATAAAAAAAATGATAGATCCGAAGAGAAACAATGTGACGCGTCCCGCACAGCCTGAAGAATATACACAAGTCGTTATGCAATCAACATTTATTTACCGTTATTTGCCAACAGAAATTTGTTCCACTTTATTTTAAAACCATTCCCTTATCATGTGCCTAATTTAGCTGCTTATATCGAGAGTAATTCTATACGTAAAACATTAAAAACTTCGTGTGTAGTTTTAATTTAAAAATGTTAAATTTAGCCATTTATAAAACACTGAATTCACATGTATATTTAATTATTTAATATTTAGGCTCCATTATATATATATATATATATATATAAAATACTAATTATTAAATTTTTTTTTCATTGACAATTTCTCTATTTTCTTATTTCAAAATTTAAAAACCAAATTTGTATATAATACTTTGTGTAACTCTCTAGATGTACTCTGATATTTTTATTACGTGCAAATAAAAATGTAAACAAGACAATACGACATTAAACGTAAGATTCTACTTTATCTTGAAGTTTATCGATTATTTCGATCAAGTTAAAAGTGACGCATGATTTCGGTCTGGTAGGCCAGGTGATAACGTGTCAAGTTCTCGCGCCCCTCCCGATAATCCACACGCATAACACATTATTGTTGTAGCATTAGGCCAGTTGCGTAGATGCATATCGACTCCGCGAACCGTGACACTGTAACGCACTCGAAACATACGTGTATATACTTCAGATTCCGCTTAATGGTCGGCAATGTTACCGCGGTCGTTAAGGAAAGGTCTCCTGGCAATTTTCATCCTGGAGCACCACCATGGTAATTTTCAACGTTTTCCTGGAGAAACAAATTCAGCGACTTTTCACAGAAAACCGCTCGAAAAGCTTTGTTTCGAACCGGTAAAGATATACTTGAATATTATAATACATTCAAACCAAATGTTTTGCAAACAGAAAAACTAAATTTTGTGAAAAATAGTGCACAGTTTATATTATACTGTAATACAAATCAACGTTATAAAAAAATTTATTTTGTATCTATCATTTATTATTCTGTAATGTAATTCTAACAGCTTGTAAATTTAACCTA